GAACTTTCCAGTTCCAAATATCCTCTGTCTTTATGTGCAAGTTCTCATTCATTTTCTTTTTACCATTTCTTTGATTAGTTCATATATGAACATTCTCTGAACAGATTCTCTCATTTCATACATATTTGTACATACTTTCTAGACTGAGAACTAAATCTCTTCCACGGGCATCCTTATCCTTCAGAGTAAACTAGTTTTTTTGCGACCTCTGCTTTCCACAGTGGTACAGTTTTATTTAACTTAGTTCATTTTGGTTACAATAACAAACTGCAGATACTGGAGTTGGTTTGTCCACCGGTCAAGGGCTGTGTAGCGAGCAGCACCCTCCGCTCCTCGAGTCAGTTCCAACACCTGGTTCACCTGGTCTATACGTCCATCAATGGTGCTGAAAAAGAAAGAAAAAAAAAATGTATTAATCCAGTGTCAGAGGGAAAATGTTGCATTACCTTTGGCAATGCTTGGTTATATGTTTCTGCACATAGATGGCTCTGCCAATGCTTAGCCATAAAGGAGTCAATTAGTACATCTTGCGACCTCCCTTTTCCTTGAAAAAGCGGGAAAACGCCATTTTTTAGTAATGCTATCAATAATGACACTGTTATTTTCGTTATAAACATTATGATTACTATATTGTTACTGACATTACTAACAGCAATAACAATATTATAAAATATCAAAATTCAAGGAAAAGGGTAAACAGGTGAGACAGGTAGTTTGCGTAATTGGCTCCTTGATGACTTAGTACTTGTGGAGCCATCTATATGTAAAAACAATTACTAAATTCAACACACACAATGGACAATGGCTTGCTATGCCTGGCGGCTTGGGGTTAATAGAAATTTACCATAATCATAATAAATAAATACATCTACCTATCCATCTAGCATGTATTTACATACCCATACACATTTAAAGTGATATCTTTTGATGCAAAATGACACTGCATCCATCAAAACACTAGCATCATGAAATGTACAGAAATTTTGGAAAATATTCATGTAAAGAAGACCTTTTTTACATTATTTGAAGAAAAAGTCTTGCAAATGGAAATAGAGTGGCATGGAGACCTCTTCTACACTCCCATTAAGTTATTTCTAATATAAGAGAGCATGGATAATTTTTTTAAAGATGTATGCCTGTATCAATGATCACAATGTGACCAATTTATGGTTTGGGATAATTTGTTATAGATCCCTATAGTATTTCAATGATGAAAACAACATAAAAAGAGTCAAAGAAAAGTGATTTACTTACTTGTCCAATATACACTGCACTAAGAGAGCTTCCACATCTGTTGCATCTATGTTGAGTTCATTAGAGATAAAAGGTATATGAATTCTTGTGTATGGCTTAATAAGTTTTATGAGCACTTGGGTTCGGATGTTTCTCAGCAGATCTGAAGGTAGAAAATGTGTGGAAAAATTTTAAATTGCACCCAAAGAACACGAAGACAAGAACACTAACAATATTGATAACATGTATAAAGAAGTCTAGTCATTTCAAAGTCCGTATTTTAAAAAGAAATTATCAACCCTAACTTACCTTCAATGTGTTCCCGGATAAAAGGATCATCCATGATATTGGTTCGGTTTTGCTTTAGGATTGTCTCAAATTCATTGATATCGTCATTTTGGTACGCTGCCACCAAGTTGGTCATTGCTAAAATCTCGGGGTCATTCTTGTAAGGCTTTGCTTCTTGGGAATCAAAGGGGTTAATACCTGATTTCATTAACCTGAAACAATGGTATTTAAAGGTATGAGTTTTATATAAAGGGTAACTGTAATGTATAATGTTCTGCAAAGAAAATGCAAAGCTTTTTGTCTGTCATTTTTACTCTATTATGTTGAAAAATTCCTCCTCCCATAAACTTGCTAAGAACTTTTGTGGACTTACAAGAAAACCATAATTAGTAGGGAGGGAGGGAAAAAAAAAAAGAACTTTCAGTATAAAGTAAATGGTAGTGATGATTAACTTAACCCTCATTGAAATTATATATCCCTTCCTAAATTTCTTGTACCAAAATACCTAAAATTAAAAATGTTTTTGTCCTACTTACATGTTTGCCAAAACAAGGTACTTAAGACAGGTTGTTCTTCTTGGGCTACCAGATTCATCATAGTTTTTAAATGCTTCAAAAAAGTCTGTGTGGGCCTTTTCAAATTCTCCCTCACGCAGATGCATTTTTCCGCCACATTCTGAAGTAAAAGTGGTTAAATTAGATAATTTCATTTAATGTAGGCTACTTATGCAATACACAATATTGGAGGACTCCTACAAAGTTTTCCCTCTGTCAAAAGGGCATTAAATGTAAAGTACAGAAGCGTCTTTTAAATCTACTACATTATTTCACATCAAGAATACAGAATAGTTCAAGTAACTGGAGAATCTTCTTTTTACCTCTTATCACTCCCATAATAAGTGGATGGGGAATTGCTGATTTAATGTGAAGCGACTGCTCGTACAAAGCCTAAAAATAAGGAAGAGAGGCAATCATAAAATAGCCCTAAAAAAAAAAGAAAAAAAGTGTATATCAACTGTTCACCTTCTGTATCCGACAAGAGAGACTACTAATCGTCTTTTGCTAGCCTTTTGAAAATGTTCTCACCTTCAGCTTCTTGTTATTCTTTTGAGCAGTATACATCTGGATCTCTAAAGCATAAATCTCCAAGAGCTGTGTCCCCTTCTTCAGGTCATCCTCACCCTCATCTGTCTAATATCAGGATGAAATATTTCTCATCAAAGAACAGAAATTTAAAGCTAGAAAAAAATATTGAACAATAGGAATGACGCTTATTTCCAACAGAAGTAAAATCATATCTATGGAACTAATAACTCGTTCCAGTAGAAACAATATTCCCTTCGTCGAACTTCAAAATGGCTCACCTGGCAAGACTGGTGAAGCTGCTTCAAGATCTTTGACAACCGAGTGTAGTCTTCCCGGTCGAAGTAGAGCTTCCCCAATTTTGTATTTGTTTTAAACCACAAGCGATCATTTTTGGCATCTTTCAAGGCTTCTAGGGTTGTTTCATAGAAATCTTGCAATAATTCCATCTGAGAGATAAAAAAGAGATACATCATCTACGTATATAATTATATATATATATATATATATATATATATATATATATATATATATATATATATAATATATATATATTTGTAAATACATATGCACATATACATATACACAAACATATATGCATAGATTTATAGATACATTTATACATACATACAGATATATATATTTCACATTCATATTCAAAGGCTTTCCTATATCACATATTTCCATAAAATATTGTCAAAACATATACTGGTCTTACATTTTTTGATGTTGATATATAATCTAGGATAGAGTTGATGGACTTTTCACTGTAGTTGCGAGTAACAGCAGATTTAATGTAAGTTAAAAGCTGCTTGTAACGTGTCATCATCTCCTCGTAGTTGCCCTAGAAAAAGCAAAAAAGATGAATCTTGAATAAAATTAAAAAGCAAAGTATAAACTCTCTTTCTGTTCCATATACACATCTGAACAAGCTGCATATATGCACAGTATATAATATACAAATAACAATTCACACATAGGGACACAACACATGCAAATAGCACAATAACAAAATGGAAGATCATCAATAATAATAATATTAACCCACTAGCAATGGTCCATCTGGAAGCCTATAATCACGGTTTCCGGGCGGTATCAAAATCAGCATGTGGGCCAGTCCAGGAACCGGCCCACACGCTGTCCACCACGGGTGACAAAATCAGAGCCCAAGCCCAAACGGCAATATTTATTTTTCTGGGTGTCACATATGTGTGACACCCATTGCAAGTGGGTTCATAATAATAGTAGTAGTAGTAGTAGTAGTAGTAGTAGTAGTAGTAGTAGTAGTAGTAGTAGTAGTAGTAGTAGTAGTAGTAGTAGTAGTAGTAGTAGTAGTAGTAGTAGTAGTAGTAGTAGTAGTAGTAGTAGTAGTAATATAATAATAATAATATAATAATAATAATAATAATAATAATAATAATAATAATAAATAATAATAATAATAATAATAATAATAATAATAATAATAATAATAATAATAATAATAATAATAATAATAATAATAATAATAATAATAATAATAATAATAACAATAACAAGAAAAAAAAACAGCCAGACATGTACATAAATACACACAGAAACATACAAACAGAAGCCAAAAAAAAAAAAAAAGATAAAGACAGTAGAATCTATTAATCTATTCTATAAACCTACAATCAAACTCTACCAATCATACCAGTCTGAAGTTAATCTTGATCATCTGCTTGAGTGCCTTGAAGCCCCACTCCCCCTTGTCGCCCGCTTCCAGGTCCAGGACGCGCTGGAAAGAGGTGAGGGCTGCCCTTGGGTCATCTTCCTTCAGTGCTTTGCTATTGTAGTACTGGTTTTCAAGGTCGACATCTGGCTCGCTGTTGCTGTCCTCAGAATATTCCTGTGCAGATATGAATCTGGGTATTAGTGAAAGTGACATACCAGTAATGACTTTCATACACTTCATAAAATATGTAGATCTTAAAAAAAGGAAAAAATAAAATATAAAAGTAAGATACATACATATCTATGCATACATACATACACACACACAGATATACATATACATATACAAAGATATACATATAAATATACATATACATTCTCTCTCTCTCTCTCTCTCTCTCTCATATACATATATATCGGTATATACATATACATATATGCAAGTGTGACAGACAGACAGACACACACACATTCATGATCGTTAAACTAAGCCAAAGGACACTGAACCAAAGTTCCAAAGCTACAGCATGTGCAGTTCTCCGGGGCATGCAGAGAGAAAATACCACAAATTTGCTCGCTGCCAAGTGGTAATCAGATGCCACAGGCTATGAGCCACTGGCCCTTCCTCCAAATATAAAGAGGTACTGAAGTCATACTGCACAGATTAAGACTTGGTTACCCACGCGCTTGACAAATTATTGATGATGTGGTTGTCAGGGAGTGCAAGCATTGCAGCAAGCCTAATGCCACCCTGTTACATTACTTGCAGAATTGTGAACACACAATTTCTAAAACAGGGACCACCCACCACAGCCGCCGGGCTGGTAAAAAGGGTATGCCACATGCTTACACCATGGCAGCTGGATCGCTTGCTTGCAATCCAGCCACCATGATAAGCATACAATTCAAAGAAAACACGAGTTAACGTGAAATAGTTGACACAGGCCAGGTCGCTCTAGAGAAAAGTCCCGGGCGAAGCTAGTCTTCGCAAGTCTAACTGAACTGAATGAAAGTGAAGACAATGTTTCCTAGGGAGTGTTGGGGGCAGAGCTAGTCACAGCAACCTAGATTGTTGAATAAATTTTGTGATAAGGAGTTGGGGACTTAGTCTTTATGCATGTGCATCCATACTGTAAGGAATTACCATTAATTCTAGTGAGAATTACTAACATTTGAAGAAAACCTTTAGAAATGTATACAAAATAAGGTATTTCACAGATAAAAAATCATATCCCATCTCCTATACAATCATTACATTAATTTACAATGACTGTTTACATATATATTCATAAATCAGTTCAGCATTTCACATAAATGTGAAAATATTCTTAAAAACAATTACAAGACTATTTAGGTGGAGAGCTACCAGAGGGGTTATACATCAATCCATATGTCCTACTACAGTTACTAATATACCATGTGCATCAACCTAGTATTTGGCATCTGTAGCAAGATGATAAGGGATAAATGTAATGTAGATTCAATCATATTGACACATTTACTCTTAACATTTGCAAAAACCATTTCAAAACAGTTTTAACCCAATGCCACAGGAAAATGTGATGTTCACTGTAGCATTGGTTTGTGAAATATATTTGATGCTATAAATATCAATGCTGTTATCATCATTAATGATCACAGCATTTGTAGAGAAGCTATGAATGTAAAGAAATATCTTCACAATGCAAGAGATATTCGATTAAATCTTGAACAGAAATACATGATTTACATGTTGTTCACAAATACAGATACTGTGATGACATGTATCCTCATTTCTACTACTTCAACATTTGCAATGAACTCAGTTCGCTAATACAGCATTATTAATAATACTAACAGCAATACAAAATAAAGTTAATTATTTCTAAAAATCAAGGAAAAGGGTAATCAGGTAAGATATGTCAGAGTAATGATTGACTCATTGGTGACTATGCACTTGTGGAACCATAATGTATAAATACAATCAATAATGTAAATTCCCTGTAAGCATGGTATGTATGTACATGCCATCCCCAGTGGCATTTGGTTAACTGGCCATAATACTATAAGATAAAATTTAAAAAATTACTTTACAAAGTCCACCCCAAATTCACTACATACCTTCCAAATTTATCTCATAACAAATAAAGAATGAATATACACATCTAGTTCTCATATCATCAAACATACTGTATAGTTTTCCAAAGTTACTACACATATTAACACCCCTCTAATTTGCTGCTGATGGATTTAGCATGATACCAAGTGTGTATCTATTTTGGTTTTAACAGTGCCAAGCGGCAACAAATACAATACTACGTGGAATTTATGTCATACTGTCTGTTTGGGGTTTGAGCTCCTAAAACTTCCCTAAACCCTGCTCGGAACACCAAATCACCACCGCATCTTCTTGGTAAGTTAGAGCCTGGACAGGTGAGTGTCGTCATAACCCAACTGAGGTGGAGATAAACATGCCTCGCTTTGTGCTTAATCCTCTGTTATTTTACAAGTTATAAGAGTTTTCAGACACTTGTGTTATACTTATTTTATAATTCATCGTACTATTTCTTTGTAATCCTGGTTCTCAATCATGAACAAAGAACAATCAATTGATTTCTTTTGAAAGTGTGCATTATTATCGAAATAAAATTACCATACTCCTCAATTACCACCCATAGAGACCATTTCATTTTTGTTTTGCAACATAAATTACCTTTCAATCTTGGTATTGTGGACGGAAATGTTCGTTAATGAAACTGTTAGACAGCTTTATCACAACACGTAATATCCAAAAGTACAGCATAATCCCCAAACCCAAAGCTGTTAAAATATACTTAATACTGTAAAAACTACGAATCTACATCAATTAGATAATATCCACAGAGAATCATTCCGTATTTACATCAAACCGTTCTGTCAACAACAAGGCGACGTCCCACACACTCCTGTCCTCCCTCTCTAAAACCTTCGATTTTCCTCATCTACACCCCTTATGGAACCTCATATATAACCACACCGAAGTCCAGAACACCTCAACCATCCCGAAATACGAGAAAATCGCCATCCTGACTCACCAGGTCGTATTCTTCTTCGTCATCGCACATAAAATCATCTTCGGCGTCCGACATGATGGTGAGTTTGGTCGGATAAACTACTAAAACCTCGCGGTCTCTTTTTTGGCTTGGGATTTTACGAGTTTTTTATTCATTCTCTCTTTTAAGTC